ATAAGTGGTATTTGATTGTGTTTTTGACTGTGTGGTGTTGATATATCATGATATAAGTGGTATTTGATTGTGTTTTTGACTGTGTGGTGTTGATATTTTACTATATAAGTGGTATTTGATTGTGATTTTGACTGTGTGGTGTTGATATATCATGATATAAGTGGTATTTGATTGTGTTTTTGACTGTGTGGTGTTGATATATCATGATATATGTGGTATTTGATTGTGTTTTTGACTGTGTGGTGTTGATATATCATGATATCATCACACAGTCAAAAACACAATCAAATACCACTTATATAGTAAAATATCAACATCACACAGTCAAAATCCCAATCAAATACCACTTATATAGTAAAATATCAACACCACACAGTCAAAATCACAATCAAATACCACTTATATCATGATATATCAACACCACACAGTCAAAAACACAATCAAATACTACTTATATAGTAAAATATCAACACCACACAGTCAAAAACACAATCAAATACCACATATATCATGATATATCAACACCACACAGTCAAAAACACAATCAAATACCACTTATATTGTGATATATCAACACCACACAGTCAAAATCACAATCAAATACCACTTATATCATGATATATCAACACCACACAGTCGAAATCACAATCAAATTCCATTTATATCGTGATATATCAACACCACACAGTCAAAATCACAATCAAATACCACATATATCATGATATATCAACACCACACAGTCAAAATCACAATCAAATACCACTTATATAGTAAAATATCAACACCACACAGTCAAAAACACAATCAAATACCACATTTGATATATCACAATATAAGAGGTATTTGATTGTGATTTTGAATGTGTGGTGTTGATATATCATGATATAAGTGGTATTTGATTGTGATTTTGAATGTGTGGTGTTGATATATCATGATATAAGTGGTATTTGATTGTGATTTTGACTGTGTGGTGTTGATATTTTACTATATAAATGGTATTTGATTGTGGTTTTGACTGTGTGGTGTTGATATTTTACTATATAAATGGTATTTGATTGTGATTTTGAATGTGTGGTGTTGATATATCATGATATAAGTGGTATTTGATTGTGATTTTGACTGTGTGGTGTTGATATATCATGATATAAGTGGTATTTGATTGTGATTTTGGAATTGTACAATATCTTCTTTCAACATTTAATTTCCACCTTTAACTCATCTACAAAGTCGTAACATGTTATAGGCCTACGTTACAAATGAAGTACAAGAATACTAGGACTAAATGAAATCAATTTATTCTGATTAAGAAGTCAGCACACGGGATCACACACAAACGTAGTAATTTTTCAAATGAGACCCGGAATTCGAGCGATTTCGAATAGTGGGAGCAAACACAGATCCAAATACTTCCCGAAACACACTGACTGATTGAGTTCTCCATATTGAAAATAATTCTACATATTTCTCAGCTGTCTTATATGTATAATGCATCTTCGAATGTACGAGAAAAATTTGATGTTAGCTTAGAATTTTCTAGGCCTGTCTTAACATTAAACGCCATCTAGCTAATAAATGAATTACAACATTAAAAATATACCTTACAACAATAACAAAATTAAAAATTTAATTTAGTATTAAATCTTTTCGAAAATGTTAGCATTCACTGGTAAATTAAAAATATCTAAACAAATAGTTCTTTCTGAAGTAAATGTAGAGAAAGGTTGCCATGATCGTGGTCTGTTATGTTTTAGCGGAGCAAGTCCACTCTTCTTTTCTACGTTTTTGATGATGTGTGGTTTTCACTATTATTCTTCCACCGTGCTTGAAACCTAATTTCTGATGATGAGTACGGAAATCATCTCAGACCAATGTAGGAGTTTCGTGAAAAGAGGCATTACAGCAAGTGGCTGAAGTCGAGTTATGACGTGAGAGCACGTGACGTGTCGTTCCATTTTCTTAAATATTATTTCCTTTTCTCGCATTTCATAAAAATAAGTGTTGGCGGTAATGATTCATCGGTTAATAAAGTTACAGTAATTATCGTCTGATTAGACTAGTGATGGATTAAAAATAATTAAATAAGAATATTTTGAAAGAGGCCTATCATTATCGCTATTATTAAATATAGTATTTCAAACAATTTTGATTATGTGCTCCAATATTTTGATCTTGACGTATTGCTACGAGTCTTACCAACACAATGACGAGTTCAATCTATATCAGTGAGAGGGCGTTCACAATTTTCGCCATTTTCAAGCGTACACTTTTTCGTAATCTCCTCACCAGCAACCCCCTTTCTGATATCCTACACATAAAATATCTTTTTTTTTTATTCTCATGTATTACTAGAGAGTAGTCATTATAAATACGGTACAGTAAACAGAAAGAAAAAGTATTTAAGGCCACAAAATTTGGCGATCGAAATTTATACGTTTGTCAAGTTAAGTATTTATAACAAATTGTCCTTTCGATATATTTTGAAAAGCATACACGAGCTTCTACACACCTCCCTCCTTCTCCAGCTGATGGTGAAAATTGTAAACGACCCCTAAAGTCACGTAGGTTTTGGTGGTTTACTGATATTGTCCGACTTGGTAGAGTTTAGAAATGAGCTTGAACAAATAGTACAATTAGTTATTCAGGATTTTGACTCCACTTTCGGTAATGGGCAAACATCCTGGCTCTAGCTTTTCTTAATTGGAGGGGAAGGGAGACATATAATGGGGCCAAATCTAAAACTAGGTTAATGAACAGAATTAGCTATTAAATAATTGAGTTATTTTATTACAAGTTATTTGCATGATTTAATAATCTTAATCACGTGCGCAAGAAACCATTTATTGATTCAACGCTATTGTTGAGTAAAACTGTAACTACACTCGAGGAAACTGTAATTTCTTAATGAAATACCTAAAGCTCGAGAACTTTAAAAGGCTAATGTATAATAACTTACCAAAATAAGTTGTTAATTAGCTAAATATAAATCAAATAATGAGTATTTAGTTATTAAAATGATTCTAAACAAATTTTTTAAATTTTAATAAAATTATTTCAAATTGATGAGAGATATTCGTTAACTACATGTAACTGTCACGTTAATTTGGAATGTGTCACCTCAATCATCGTGGAGAGAATAACAACAGCATATATGAAGTTTTTAACCATGAAAATTAATTCAGAAAGTAAGAAGGCAAAATGAAATATATAGAGAGACATAGTGAAATACTTACCCAGCAGCCTGTGGTTCTGGAAAACCAGATCTTGTAGGAGCTGACACTATATGCCTCGTTTCATCCCCTCTTTTATTCTCCTCAGGTTTACATGGTAGTTGTTTCAGTCTGTTTCTTTTCTTTCTCTTCACTGATGATACAGTATCATAAGCTGGATTTAAACAGTCACTACTCCTGTTAGAGTCCTGTTTGATTTCTTTTAAATGCATCCTTGGGGAATGCCTGACAGAATCCTGTTGTTTACGTTTACCCGGAGGACAAGCAGGGACTCTAGTAATAAGAGCTAAATCTATACTTACAAAAACACAAGGTATAGCATTTTCTTTTAGCTCGTTCTGAGCTTCAAGTGGGTCTTCAACAGAAATGGGTGGGTCAATTTTGACCTTATCATCAAATATTACAAGGCTAGATGTTGTATGATCAGACCTCTTTGCTGATATGTCACTGTTTAAGCAAGTGTTGCTACATGATAAGTCCCCTTCGGCAACTCTATTGATAACATCGGTTACATGAGGTTTCACTGGATGATCGTTTTCTCTAACCTCTTCTGGCTGTTTGTTAGATAAACTTCCAGACAGACATGAAGATGTTTTTTCTACTGAGAACAAATCAGATTTTTCCTTTATGGCAATATGTTTTATCCTTTTGGATGATGAACTCATTTGGGATGTGTATAATTCCTTTTTTGATGTATCAGACACGAGTTCTTTAGGTTTCATTTTTGAGGCACTATTTTTCTCCACCTTTTTGATTACAAAGTTTTTACACAATTTTTCTTCTGTATATACAGTTTTGGGCTTTACTTCTGAATTACTAGATGTATTTTTATCTTCAGAACCTTTATACTCTTTTTCTTCTTTTCCAGAAACACTGAATAAACATTCACTATAACTGTTATATTTCTTTGAAGTTTCTTTCTTTACTGCAGACTTTTTGTTTCCATCTTTTTTTCTGACTTCTTCTGAACTTGATTTCAATGAAGTTGAACATGAAATTGTGCTATTTTCTAAGTTGTAGCATGGTTGGATAGAATTAGACACGGACAATGTTATACTATCAGCTCTGAGAGCAAATGATCTGGACATCTCAGGACAAGAATAAAAACTTGTACTAAATTCATCATGGGCTATTTCTGGACCTTCTTCAAGTTCTGTGCCATCTTGGTTCTCTTCTGTCTTTATTTTCACATTCTGCTGTTCCAGCTTAGGAAAATCATTGCCAATTAACCTATCATCATCACCTGACCACCGAAAAGTCTGACCAAAGCTCATTTCATCTTGTCCACTAGTCTTCAGATGCTCTTTGCTAATCTGTTCTCCATCCCCTGACCCATATTTTGAATTAAACTGTTCTTCTTGTGCAGGAGGAAGAACAGGGGAGATCAGAACATCAATTTCAGGATTCAGGGGTAGGTTTCCAGAATCAAAATCAACAAAGTGAGGGCTTGGACTAAAATTGTGGACAGAGTAAAAAAAAAATCAGTCAACATTTATCTCTGTGTATTGTAAACATAATTGCTATTGGGTAAAATTAAGTAACTCATGATTGTATTCTGTGTTATTTGTAATAACAATTAACATTAACAACTGATACTAACATTCTTCTTATATTATGCTTTTAAAAATATTAATATCAATAATAGTGAAATAATAACACCACACAGTAACCATTTGCAAGACACTTCAATGTTGCATGATTTTTCTGGATCATAAATTTTTGTTCATTTTGATAACGATGGAAGTGACTCAGGGCTACAATATCAACCAATCAAGACACTTCAATGTTGCATGATTTTTCTGGGTCACAAATTTTTGTTCATTTTGATAACGATGGAAGTGACTCAGGGCAACAACATCAACCAGTAGCTCTTTCTCTAATCTTTCTACATATTACATACTCTGTATAAGACACTCCTGAGTGACTATTTTCTGGACGAGAGTATAGAAGGTCACTTGGCACTTTAAGATCTTTCCTAAACATCAGTGACGATAGTGTGATGCCGATACCTTCACCAATAACAATGAAAGATCTCGCGTTTTGTTATGTTTATACATATACATGGTTAACTGATTTAGCAGTGTGTGGTTGTATCTTTACACCATGCTGTCAAAAGACTGATGAAAGGGTGTCATCTTGTTCTTTTTAATCCCAAAGATCCAACATATTTCTGCAAACAAGTCTGATTCAATGTTCTGTCCCTGATTGAAGTGGAGTTTCATAGATATACCAAATCTTGAGACAATATTACTTGCTAAAGTCTCTGTTTCCTGGTTAGGAGCAGTATATACTTCTGGCCATGATGTTTCTATTTTCACTGTTTCTCTGTGGCAGAAGGCCAAGAATGCCAATAGCAACTCTCTCTAGAACAGTGATTCTGAACGTGGGGTAATTTGAAAATGCTACAATAATAAAATAATTGCATTTGGGTGTGAAGAGCGAAAAACGTTCCGTGACTCAAAACTAAATTTCTAAATTTTATATTATATTATTATACCTTTTCAACACCAAATTTGTTTTTATATTAAGGGGGCATCAAAATTTTTGAGGTGTCGAGGTGGGACATGGAGTAAAAAAGGTTAAAAACCACCACTGCTCTAGAACAACACAATAATGTCATACTGTTTCTTTTCTGGATTTCTGGACCTTTTTGCTCACATCCCAGTTCATATGTTTTACTCCATTTTACCACCGACCCCCAGCACCTAACCCCATAAAAGCATTCTCTTATTGATTCCAGTGTCTTCATAACATCCAACTGTCAAACAGTTGGAAGGTTGTGGAAAGGACAGTTTGGTTGGGTTTGGATTTCGCGCAAAGCTACACGAAGGTCATCTGCGCTAGCGATCCCTAATTTCGCAGTGAAAGACTAGAGGGAAGGCAGCTAGTCATCACCATCCATCGCCAACTCTTTTATCAATGAGTATTGGAATTGACCATCACATTATAATGCCCCCACAGATGAAAGGGCGAACATGTTTGGTGGGACGGGGATTCGAACTCACGACCCTAACCATCTGGTCATGCCGGGCTAAAGAGGACAGACTGCTTCAGGGTGTAGAACTGAGGAAGAAACAACTGTGGTCATTGGCTTAGTCCAATGGTATCTTCCTACTTCCGATATAATGAACCATCTTGTATACATAAAGAATCTCACTGTATGGAACAATTGTTTGTCATGAAAATCTATTTGCACCATTCTTGAGCCACTGAATAACTAATTTTTTAACTTGTATCTTTTGTCTGGACATCTTTTAGATGAATGTTAGACCACATCAGTTCTTCATCATTACTTGTAGATGCTACATCTTTAACTACACGTTGCTATACTTTAAGTTGGTATTTTTTTATCCTGTGCTTCCCTCTTCTCAAAGTGTTTAAACTCTTTACTAATGCATGGTCTTCGGGAAAATGTATCAGTATATCTATGGTGATGCATAATGTTAAAGTTATACTCCTGAAGTTTCTGAAGCCATCTTGCTATTTGGCATTTTGGTTGCGGAACACCAATGACCAAGACTTAAATCAGCCTGTGCTAAAATGAAAAGTCGCTGTGATATTCGTAGTGACATGGCTGTAAGAAAGGACAAACTACACAGTTAAGCAAGTGCTGTGTGGATCTATATGCTGTCCTAAAAGGATCAATGATGTGGTTTACAGAATATGGGAGAATTAGACAATCTAAACCAAAGTTCATCCATCATGATCTTCTTTGGAAGTACGTCAATGAGAGAACAATTAACTGAGTAACTTTGGAGAAGAACTTGGCAAAGGAAATTTAACCTACTGAGAAGCCCATGCTTCTGTTTATATTACTTTCAGAGGATTTTCAAAGATGGAGTCGTCGGTGACGAAAAAAATAGCCAGTTCTCGTTTCATAGTTTCATCAACAAAACTAGCTACACCTACTCGTTTCATAGTTTCATCAACAAAACTAGCTACACATACTCGTTACATAGTTTCATCAACAAAACTAGCTAGCATGTGACATTTTCTCCCTGGGAGCCATGAGTACAATCATCATACTAGTGCTGGGAAAAGTATGTCTGGAGTTTTATAGACACTGTGTTGGTCTGATTGATTGTATAACTGTACTCTAATACAGTTCAATTTCATACAATATCCCACAATATTTGCATATTATCCACTGTTTCTATAATTAATTCCAATACTGTAGTTTACCAATACAAAGTAATAAATACCAATAAAAGAGCAATAGGCTAGAACTGTACAATACCAAAAATCAGCGTCTCAAAGCTGGTTTATCAAAACCACTATGTGATATATTTTTTTCTAAATTATTTATGACTTTGGCACATTATTACATTTTGTTTTTACATTTCATGGGAATTATATTAAGGAAATACATTATTACATACATATAAACAAGATATTTTGGTTTGGTTTGAATTTCGCGCAAAGCTACACGAGGGCTGTCTGCACTAGCCGTCCTTAATTTAGCAGTGATAGACTAGAGGAAGGGCATCTAATCAACACCACCCACCGCTAACTCTTGGGCTACACTTTTACCAACGAATAGTGGAATTGATCGTCACAATTGAACACCCCCACGGCTGAAAAGGCAAGTACATTCTGGGAGGGTGCTAGATGTTTGTTTGTCAAGTACAAAGGTGCAAAGTGAGCATTCTGTATTGTGCCCACCAAAAGGATCGAGTTTCAAATTTTAACGTTATAAGCTCTCCAGCTTATCACTGAACCACCAAAAGGCAATCAAATTTTTGACAAATCCTTCTTTGACTTAAAATAAAAGCTCATTAATGACCTGTATTAGTTTCTCCAAAATTTGAAAGTATATTGTTGTAACATTGTTCTTTCGCCATTGATTTTGTTTTAAATTATCTGGGAAAAATAATTCAACGTCCGGTCCACGAAACAGTCACAAATCAGTTTCTCTTTAAACGTTTCTAAAATCTTGAACACTTGTACGCTGTTGTAGGCCTACATTATAAATGTCATCTAAACCTCTCTAACAATATTAGGACTAACGTAAGATCCATTTACTTTTACAAAGTACCTTAATAAGGGCAACAGTAAACACACTGATTGAAACAACTATCTTTCTTCTTGAATTCTAAACTATCTCATATATATATAATATACTTTTGAAACCTACTAGAAAACGCTACACCCTCAGAACTTTCTAGGTGTTCTAGGCCTATCTTATTCAACTGTTGTTATTATTATCTGCAGCTTTTTCTAGCTAACATTTAAACTACTTTGGCCCATGGTATACAGGTCGGATGGTGCCTTAGCCCTTTTTGTTTACATAGTTTCATCAACTAAACTAGCTACACATACTCGTTTCATAGTTTCATCAACAAAACTAGCTACACACACCCGTTTCATAGTTTCATCAACAAAACTAGCTACACATACTCGTTTCATAGTTTCATTACAAAACTAGCTACACCTACTCGTTTCATAGTTTCATCAACAAAACTAGCTACAAATAAGCTACACACACTCGAATTTTGTTGATGAAACTATGAAACGAGTAGGTGTAGCTAGTTTTGTTGATGAAACTATGTAACGAGTATGTGTAGCTAATTTTGTTGATGAAACTATGAAACGAGTATGTGTAGTTAGTTTTGTTGATGAAACGAGTATGTGTAGCTAGTTTTGTTGATGAAACTATGAAACGAGTGTGTGTAGCTAGTTTTGTTGATGAAACTATGAAACGAGTATGTGTAGTTAGTTTTGTTGATGAAACGAGTATGTGTAGCTAGTTTTGTTGATGAAACTATGAAACGAGTAGGTGTAGCTAGTTTTGTTGATGAAACTATGAAACGAGTGTGTTTAGCTAGTTTTGTTG